TCCACTAACTCTTTTGCTCCATCAGCCTCTTTGAAAGCTCTGCACGCCTCGTCTTTACTCTGCCTTTTATTTGGTGAGCTCTTCCTCTAGTTGCTTTGCCCTTGCCAAGGTTTGTTTTGTCTTTGTTTCTGTTTGGTCGGCGCAAGTAATAACTATCAATCTTTTTTAGGTGAGCATTAGCAGCATCTAAACCTTGCTACAAAGCCGTTGCCCTCTCAGCAGCATCTTTCAAGTGGGCTTCCAAGCTTTCTACCTTTCTCACTCTAGCTTCCATCTCCTTTATGTTCCTTTGCAAAGTGGTGTTTAGAGTCCTAGGCCTTCAATTATAGCATCTTTCTTGCACAATAAAGTTTTGATCTTTTTTAGCCTTAGTTTTCTTGTATAATATCTCTCATTTGTACTGTAGTTCCTACACAAGAAGCTTGACTTGCTCGTATAGGCCCACCTTATTCGCTAGCGACTACAAACACAAACACCAACAGTTGGCAAAAAACACATAATTTCAAAAGCCCCAAATAATACCAGTAAACCTTAGATTTGCCCAAATAGAAAGTAGTAACTCATTTTGTAAGTTATTGAGCATAAAAAGCTATTGCAATCTCTCTATTACATAATGGAGTAGGATTATCATAGCCCATAAACACCCCGTTTCTTAATGAAGGATGGTTATTGGCTTGTCACAAATGGCATTGAAGTTTGAGGCAAACAACCTATCTAGTCTCTCTCTAGAATAGCTAGCAGCGAGCATGGTAGCCTTCAAAGAAGCTTTCATCTCTTCATTTATAAGGATGTTGATGTTGGTACTCACAATCCCCAAAGGGTCACTGCAGCATGTGGTACAAATGAAGGCACGATAGCAAAAGAGCTTGGAATGATAGCTCTTGCAAGAGTAGTAGTACCCATCACAGTTGTTGGAATGAAAACGATAGGTACGCCAGAAGCTACTATCATTAGTGCATCAAAAGTTATCATTACGAAAGATGTGATGTAAGTTGTTCTAGTTGAAGGGATATTCTATGTTTGAATCCCACTACTCGTAACCATTATAATGGGTACCCCGGTATTACCTACAGCCTGCTTCTTATTTGGTGGAAGACTGACTTACATAGACCTTTTCTCCTTTTACTTCTCCCTGTACATGATCTTTTTTAGCTTGGTTACAAAATCCATCTCTACAAACAAAAACGGTACATACAACCCAAAAACATAAGTAAAAGTAAAGTACCATTAGTAATAGCTTTAAAGTTTGGCACATCCTTGCCAATTATTTATCCCATTAGTTCATCAACCCTTAAAGCCTCCATGCTATCCTATCCTGCTTCATTCCTCTAGACCCCCACAACAACATACAAACCAGAAAATATATGTATGTCAACATTTCTTTACATGCTAATCGGTTGAGCCACGGTTGCTCCTTCATGAACACTATTTTGCACACTAACAGTTTTTGGCACACTAACTCCCTAGCGAGCACCAAAGCTTTTAGAATTGACAGTAGGCTTCTTCACTGCATGGTAATTAGTAAACAACCGTAACAAGAACAACATAAGTATACTATCTAACATAGGCAACTTAGCCAATATACAAATCAACAAACATACTCCGAACTACACCAACACAACAAGTACTCAAGTTACCTTGTTTTTCTCAAGAGTGATCATCTTTCCTTTTGGATTTAGGCGCTAGATCCCCCTTATCTAACTCCGTTTTGGACAAAAGCCTCTACATCTTTATCCTTACCCATCACCAGACAGTTTGGTTAATATTTTCCTACATGGCTATCTCTGTGACGATTACTTCCTATCCTTCAAACTATTCCCTTGTTTCACCTCATCATCCCCCAATTCAAACACTCCCTCATCAATGCACTGCCATACAACCATCTTATCTTGAAAGGGAATTATACACCAAGAGTTTTATACGTACCATAATGAACCTATCATAGTTTGGGTGATTATTTAAGGGTAATCAAATCATGCATGATGTCCTTTACTTAAGAGATAATACAACCAATAATAGTTCTCGTTTAGGCTAAGTAGCGCTAGCACCACAGTTACCGAAAACACCTACCCTCTCCAATGGTAGGTAATGAAATATGTCATCAGGATTCCCAAGAATTTGATGACAATTGTGATGCGACTAAATTGAATGTGGTGAGTATCAATTGGAAGAATGGGTGTAGAGGAATGTGAAACCCATATATGAAATTGTGAATGTTCGCCTTTTTGTCACTAACCCTCACCTGGCTATTCGTTATAACCTTGGAAGCTAGTGAAACAATAAACATAAGGTTATCAAAGTTGTACATGACCTTGTCCAAGGCTTGTTTCATCATGTCGATACTCATCTGGTGGCCATCTTTCTAGTTCTAGATCTTGCAACTTCTCCACCACAACCTATTTTCCCTTTCTCTTTCCCCAACCGTTGTTGGACCCAACCCTGCTAGACTTTGGGCCACCCTTTCCTCGAATTAGAATCCCACTCCTTTAACCCCTATTACTAACCTTTTGGGTCTTTTGAGTCCCTCTCCTACCACCACTACCAACAATCGGCTATACGATGCTCTTATCAGCACTTGACTCCTCTTTAATTGTTTTTCTCTTTGGTGCCATCTCAATCACTCCAAAAAAAAATCCTTAAAAAAGAAGTTACAAAAAATTTTCAAACTTACCACAAAAACCTTTAAGTCTGCAAAAATATTCACGAGTAACCATAGAATAGAAGAAACTTTTCCTTATCAAGAATAGTAAAGTGATTCCAACCTTTCTCTTTCCTATTTATACCCACCTAAATGTTCAATTGAAACGGCAAATTTAAATTCATCAAACCAAGCCTACTATTTCAGTAACACCTTTTAAATAAATAAATTAACCCCAATAACATCCATTGAACTGACCTAACTTTTCATTTTAAGATTAGCCATGTTCCCACTCGAAATGGTTCATTCAAAGTTCAAACAGAATAAATGCTATGGCTACCTGCGCCACTTGTCTTGAACAACCGTATCAATCAGAAAAGCAATCGTGTGGCTTGCAACAAGTCCAGCAAGGCATGCATCTTACTTGCATTACATGCATTTTACAGCAAACAAAGTAGAAAAACCTTTTTTAAGTCATCACCTACTGCCCGTTATTGTTCACCATGACATGTCACCAGCAAAGCTCATCCAGACAAGCACACCATCAAATCAACTTGACATACTAGTTTAGTCACACTTGTCCAAAAGCCTTGCCTCACCAAAAGCAGTTTGATATTTTTAAAGCTCAAGTGCTTGCTTGGATGGAAGTCTGAGGATGGTCACTTTATAGCCTTCCTCAAATTTAAGGGCAATTGTTACACCTAATTGACTAGTCAATAAGGTCAATCGATACTCACCAAATCAACACACACTTTTTTGTCACGTTATTATTAAAGAAGATTGACATCTAGGCTCCTCGTCTGACATATGCGCTCGTCACTGAGTTGCTCATCTACTAGGACTTCTCTACCTATAGAGATAATTTATTTAATTATCTTTACTAACGTTCCATTAATACGTTACTTCATGATAGTCTAATTTACTTTGAATTTATCTAAAATTATTAAATATAATTTATGCTTACCCATGTGACCCACTTGATTATGTTACTATCCCATGTCTCGTATATAAGATAAAAATAAAGTTCAAGTACACATTTCAAATTCTTCATCCTTAAATTTCTTCAAAACTATTTGAAATTCATTTTTTGTAATGAATAATTTTGAAAGAAAATTACAAGTAAAATACATAAATTTTTAAAGAACAAAATGCATAATTTACTTATACATGAATATATATTAGGGATGAAGTCTAAATTTATCATAATTAAAATGATAGATCAAATTTACTATTCATTTTTTAACAAGGGAAATTTTGTCAATGTATTATTTAGTTATGTTAAAAAAATAAAAAAAAAGTATATAAAAAATATTCGTGAAAAGAATTATAATAAATTTGATCCATCATTGTTAATAAAAATAATAAAATTAGGCATTGTCTCCTATATATATTTATTTATTATAATTGATTTGTTTATTCATTTTTTATTAACTATATTTTTATTTTTACATTTAATTTTAGTTTTACACCGATTTTTCGATATGCAAAACGTAAGTAACAGAAAACAATAATCAAATGGAGCCTAAGCCTAACAAAAAAGTTGGCCTTACCAAGTGGTCAAAAAACTCTAAAAACAAATAAGCCTAAGGTTGTGAATAAATTGATACTAATATGACAGAAGGATAGGCAGCAAAACCTAAATTTCAACCAAAATAGGTTCCTCTTGGGCGGCCAAATAATTGACGGTCACTTTTATTTTTATTTAGAAACGCAAAATTTTTAAAGATAAATTTTTAAGGGACAGATTACCATGTATAGTGTATCATGTTTGCAACTCTACTTTACCAAAGCGAGTAAATCAAGATACATGGTGTATTTTTCTATTCTTTTTTTTTTGTTTTTTTTTTTTTTGCTTTGGTCAACAAAAAAATCGGCCTGACTTTAGAATGATAAGGAACATTCGCTTCATACAAATTTGACCGACATCTCTAATTTAACAACATCAATTCTTAAATGACTGCACAAATGGAAATCAAGATTGGTCGCCTTTCACACAGAAGAATTAAAGTGTATGAGTATTAATTATATAAAATCTCATGTTTATTAAAATTAGTATTGTTTTAACCGGTGATGTATTTTGTTTTTAACAAAAAATCATTGTCCAAAATGTGTGTAGGATTTGTGAATGAGTGCCGTAAGACAGGTTTTTCCAAATAAAAAAAATTAAAGTACCTGAATATTGGTTATATATAATTTTAATTTTGTTAAATTTATCATGATTTTTAGTAGATCATTTTAATAAGTAGTGCTTAAACAAAACAAAAAAAAAGAAAAAAGAAATTAAAAACAACAGCCGTTATGTGCATCCATTCGCCTAGTGGGTAGGAGATATTGACTTTACTCTAAAAGTTTTGGACGCTCAAGTTTAGAAGTCTACACAACAGTAACCCACCACCAACCAACCCCATCAATTTCGTCTCCAAACCTGGCGAATTCTTATTGAATCCTCAAACTTCTTTTTCTCAACTTCCTGTGTCTTGAATCTTGACCACAGAAAAATCCATTGGACGGGAGCTGCGTTTAGAATACTCGTCCAGATTGGTGAAATTACCTTGCTGCCAAGTGCCAAGTGCCAACTGGCTACCCTTGAAACCTTCCAAGGGTAGATTTTGTCAGTATATCTGCCTTTTAACAAAAGACTAGAGAGGGGCATGTGATTTCATGATATGATCGTAAAATTTCACAAAAACTGCTCACATCACCATGTTGCCCAACTTCCAAAACACTCCATCTTTGTCACCTCTTAGTTGATCTCTTTTACCTATAAATAACATCATTTTCTTCCCCACCCGCCTTGCTTTACCGTGTCATTTACGCTGACTGTTTATTTTTGTTTCCAAACCCATATCAATAAAATGAAGAGACAAGGAAGTAATACAGATGGTGCCACTATGCTGCAGGCTGGAAAAAATGAAGGCAGAAAGAAGAGCAAGAGAACTGAGGAAGCCAAGGAAATCGATGGGAAGAAGAATGGAGGAGAACCATCGGTGTTTGCATTGGAGAATTTGTTGGGTTGGGAGGAATGGCCGTGGCTAAGAGGTGCAGCCGATGAGCAAATGTCATGGGGTTCGGTCTGGTCGCCTTTCTGGGATGTTGATTTCATTGACAAGGCTTATAGTGCGTTGTTCAATGATGTTGCTTGGGATGATGACATTTGGAACTTGAAGACCATCATGGAGATACCAAAGCGATGAGAGAAAAAAATTTTCAAAGTCTTTGGTAGTTATTTTTAGATTCTAATTTGGGGTAGAAACAGTGTAGATGTTTATCTGCTCTTAATAATACTGCTTTGTTCGCAGATGTAAGTTAAGAATGATCAGCTGCCTGCAATATTGGCTAAAGCCTGCCTTGACATATAGAGATTGCAACCACTCACTTCGCTCTTTACCTTGTCCAATTATACTTTTATATGTGAGTTGCTATTAGTATTGTTTCCCTCTTTCCTTTTAATCTTTACTTTTGATTCAATTTAAATGCTACAAAGAAGTGTTTTTCGATTAAAAAGTTTAATTTTCAAATCCAAATAAAGAAACTTCCCAACTTTTATGGTAAAAAAAGTGTGTTTTGGATAGAAATTTATTATATTATTTTAATATTTTAATATTTTTAAGTAACATTTAGTATTATTTTTTAAATTATTATGGTAATTTAATCATGAGGTAATCTTATTACTAAGATAATTTTATAGTTCATGATCTAAAATCATTTTATTTTATTAAGAATTATTAATTTTTAGTAATTAAATATCACTATCTTTTGTATTATTAAAAATCAAACATTATTTTATTTAAAAGTACTAAAATAACTATGTACATTATAATAATTATATAAATTAATAATTTTAATATTATTTAAAGATTGTATGTAAAATATTAATAACATTTTATTTACTTCATAATAAAATATAAGTAAATTATTAAATCAAAAAATTTTATTAATAATTAAACTAGTTTTTATAATATAAATTATGTAAAAAATATTTGAATTAGATATTAAAATCAAAATATTATATTATATATGAATTAAAAGATTAAAAGAAATTACACAAATTATTTTTGAACTTATTATAATGAATATTATTTTGAAAATATAAAAATTTATAATATAAAATAATTACAATTAATTTTGTAAAAAATAAGTTTTTAATTTTTATATTAAATGAATAATATTGATTATTATTAATTTTACATATTATTTCAATTCAATGATAAAAGTTTTTCATTTATTTTGAATAGAAATTAAATCATTCTCAAAGACAATGACTTAAAATTTTCATCACGTAAAATTATTAAATAGTTATCAAATATGATGATATAATTATTATCCATAAAGTACTATAATTTTTGAATAATCACATTATATCAAACACTACTTTAGAGACTTAATGATTTATAAACACTTAAAATTTTTAATTAAAATTTTCTCATCATACTTTTAAAATAAATTTTTACTAATTTAAATTTGTTTCAACAACAATAATAACACTAAACTAAGCCTAAGTTGGGGAAAAATAATCAAAACATTGTTGCCCCCAAATCTGATATAAAGCGGCAAAAGATATAAAGATGGGTAGGGCTAGCTCGGCTTGAAAGGAACAGAACAACTTTATACAGAGCAACAGAGGATAAAAAGCGGTAAATTAACTTGGAAAGGAAAAACAATACTAACAGTATAACAGATACAGGAAAATCCGAATGGAAAGAGTCAGAACTCACAACTCAGAATAACAAAACACCACTGAGATGTCGTGTCAAAGTAAACGCCCCATTTTGACCAAGAGTTGGGTTTAATGGCTCGTCAGCAATCCCTGGCTGACCACTAAGTTTTGCTCTAATTTTTTTCTCTTTTAGAGCATTTGGCAATTGGCATGCCTTGTTTGACTTCTTTTCCCAGCAGAGACCATAAATGCATCCAAAGTCCAAACCAAAGGAATGGCAGTAGAAAATGATTAACGAGCAGTTTTAGCCCAATAAACTTCGGAATACCACGAATCTTTATTCCATCAAACTACGATTAAAAAAAAAAAAAGCATCACAAATTTACTTTCATTCAGATTGCCATTTTTCAATGCATGATCAGAGAATCAAACGAAAATCCTGAATACTGAGGGAAAAATCGAACTGATGAAGCAAACGACAAATGAAACTAACAACAAGCCTTAGGAAATAAACTGATTTTGGATAAGTAAATGCTTAGATGTAATATCTGGTATGATAGAATGGTTAGGGATTCAGTCTGGCGATATTGCCTCTAATTACTATTTTTCTGAGGTCCATTTTTGTCGCTGGTTAAATTACAGAAAAAAATTACATTTTTCTTTTGAAATTAAAAAAAAAAAATTCAGAGAGAGAGAGAGAGATTTTGGATTCTCTTTTCTTATTTTTTATACTACCAGGAATGTAAAATCTTGACGCGAAAAAAGTTACCTAAATCAAACAAAGAATAAGATTATAAAAATAAAATTTCGGAGGGAATATTAAATCCCACTACCCTAACAATCCTTTAAAATATTTTAATGATAAATTGAGGGGAAACTGGAGAGGCATTTATAAGAAACGGGGGCAAGAGGTTTCAAATAATAATTTGTTCTTTTTTTTTTTTTTGCTTCAGTTTACCCAAATCTCCTTTGCAACTCAAACTGTATTTAAAGTTAGATTGAAAAGCCTCTTGCAATAATTTGATGGTTCTGAAACCGAAGGCGATTCTGCACCTAAAAATGTCTTCAATTTCAATCAATTGGTGTTTAATTTTCGTATAACCCAACAACTCCGTAGCAAATTAACATATTATGCCGTCAACGATAAGCTACCAAGAAGCATAAAGGGAAACAAACACCTCCCAATTGGTGTAACCCCATTTTCATCCACACAACACTTGTTTCACCCTTTTATTATACCATATACCTTGTGTCATCAAACTGAAAAACTACAGCTACTAGACAGTCTCAAATTACTTCTTTACGAGGGGATGACACACCTGTGCTGGAGAATTTTTTTTCTTGGTCAATCAACTGAATTTTCATTTTAATTTGCTTTGATGCCTGCTAAATTCCCTTTCCATCATTGTAGTTTTAAACCCAGTCTATTAGCCTAGCAGTTGGTCTGGTGGCATTTACTTGAGTTAGGAGATAGTGGATTTAATTGCTATTAGAAGTAATGAGATCGCTTCAAACTTTTGTTATATGACATGTAATCAGTAATCACAACCACGAATTTCTAGCCACAGGTTATTGCTTTTGGTTATCTCCAAGTGCTAACTCTTCCACCATTGCTGGCTATAGAGGTAATGTCATTGTTGAGTTTGCAGGTCACCAGGAAGACTGGGGTTGATTTAAGGCATGTGAAAGGTGCAACCCCGCTGGCTTGAGCAGAGGTGGCACGGCTAACAGAGGTTGATTTAAGGCATGGAGGATGCAATGCCTCTTTCTTCCTTGGCTAGTTAGCTATGGCAAAGTTTGTGCGACCAGTTTAAGAGGTTTCTGCACAGCTGCTTGATCCACTATATAAAGCCAAAATATCATAAGTGTGTTTCCATGGTGGCTTATGTTAAAATATTGTCCATCTTGTGGTCTAGAATTCAAGCGGTAAATCTTGGAAGTTTCTTGGTCCTTGGATCATGGAAGCAGTGAAATTACAGACTGATGGCCGCATAATGAGGAGGGTTTTGGATTCCATGCCTTAATGTTAAACACTGGCTGTGCCACATGGCAAACGCCTGTTATCTAACTCATCCGAGCAGCCATGGCTTGAATTTGTGATAGCCGTTTGTCTATTTTTTAACTAATCTTTTCTTGGCCTTTCATTTCTTTGTTGTTAAGAGCACATCAAATGTAGGGTGGTACTTGGTACTTGGGGGGTAGAAGTGGTTTTTGTGGTCAGGCTTCATGATTTGCAATAGCTTACAGAAATACAGCAAGGACTTTGATCTCTTACTCTGCTACTACATTCTGGTCCATGGCATTTGAGCTCGAATTTACTTTCTGATCAGTTCATGCTGATGATTAATTGCTTACTATATCATCTAAACAGGATTAGTAAAAGGTTCTCAATTGTTATTGGAACAGTATTACCATATGCAATTGCAAGAGCAGAGTTTTTAAGATGATGTTAAAAAAATTTGAAAAAAAAAATATTATGGTCCTATGCTATAGAAACTGAGGCCTGCATTTACTTGCACATTAGTCATTCAATTTGGAATTGTCTTTAAACCTTATCAACTAAACGCACGCTAGTTGTAAGTTTTAAGTTAATAGGGTTTCTCTTCATGTCAAGTGCAACATCCTGCCTCGGATTGTTATTCACTAGTAGCTATGGTTTCAGAAATTTTATTCATAACCGATAAAATTTCCAGATTAGTCACGAAATGAAATCTGCATCAGAATTGTCAACCGATACCCATCTACATGAATCTTTCCTGACATGAGTTGACCAGAAAAATGAGCTTCGACCCTTGTTGCCAACAGCATTAGCTGCAATCTGTTAATTTGATTGGTGGCTTTTACTCAGTTGGCTACCTAAACTGATGCATAGGCTGCTCATTACCATCCCCTAAGAATGCGTATAATTCTGAGAATATCATTTGACAAAGGAAAGTAAGTAAATGTTTGTAATTATAGTTCTTAAAGCTCGAAAGCATTTGTATAACCAATGATTATTTTTCTGTATATTGAAATGAATCATATTTTCACTACGTGTACAATACAATGATCAATTTTCTGTTCTCATCTTAGTGAATGTAACTTGATAATGAGATAGGCAAACAGAGATAGATTTGAACTCATTCCAGAAAATTGGATATATTTTGATGATAAAAAGGACATTATCTCACGTAGTTTACTCTTTTATGTACATATAGCCCTTCTATCATTCCGACTTCAACTGGAAAACAGAGTTTAAAAAATGAAAAACGAATGGATGCTGCAAGGACAAAAAAAAAAAAAAAATCCACCACTCAACGATGGAAAGTATTAAAATTAGTAGGCTGGCGCCTTGCAGGCAATGAAACTGATGCATTGCACTTGTCTCTTGTTGTCGAATCCAATGATTCTGTTGAACGCATTGGGGTAAGCCTTCTTGGCCTCTTTCAGCTCCTTCAAGACTTGTGCTGAATCTGTGCAACCAAACATGGGAAGTTTCCACATTGTCCAGTAGCGCCAATCATAGTACCTAGGGGATCTGTGGTTCTCACAGTAAACAAATCCGTGCTACAATAAATCAAAATCACACAGCTAATTGGCCATAGCTCAAAGTAAATAAAATGTATGGAATCATGATAATGTAGGTGACCCGAAGCATCAACGATCACCTCCAATTCAAATTCCAAGCATGGAATCCACTGGCTGCGGAGAAGGTAATCAACTTCCTTTGCCAACTGTTCTGGGGTGAGATCAGGGAGGTAAGACAGAGTTTCAAACTTCTTCTTTCCAAGAGCAGGTCACACCTGCACTCACCAAAATACTTGTAATAAGTAGGGATTTAAATAGCGGTCACGGTCATATTTTCGGTCGCATCGCGTT